AAACATGTCCGGTCATTTGATAGACCATTATGATCGAGGAACCTCCTGTCAGAGGTCGACTTCTCCTATTCAACCCTCACAGGTCCCAAGGATTCAGCAAGGCCGGTTCCGTCAGGAAGACCAACCTCGATATTCTGGGTCTTCCAGTCAGTGCTGTCAGGATGAGTCCTTTCAAAATCTTGGAGGCGCGTCCACTGACATCATAGTCAGCGTCGAGTCTCAAGACTGGACAGAAGTCATGCACCGCTGACAAGAATGGCAACATTGGAACCGGAAACAAGGGGAAGAACAACTTTGGTGACTATAACGACGGCAACAACAACATTGGTGAGCTGAACTGGGGAGGCAATATGCTGGCGCTGCACTGAAAAGGGTTGCTCATACATGAGGTGCAGAAGTGGTGTGAGTGACAGCGGATGCCACATGCCCACGGCTTGTGATCTCCGTCAATGCGCAGGGAGCTACAATAAGGGCAACAGCAACTGGGGAGATAGGAACAAGGGCACCAATCTGCGGTGCAATGATGCAACAGGAACTCGAAAGGTTGTCAACACCTGCAACCTCAAGGGAATCCGTAAGACTGTGCGTGTGAACTACAATCCCCCCCACCCTCCATCCAAGAGGCCGCCTCCTCCCCTCCCCCAAGATGCCGCCTCCTCCCTCCCCCAAGAGGCCACCTCCTCCCTCCACCAAGAGGTCGCCGCCTCCTTCCCCAGCAAAGAGATCACCACCTACACCTCAACCCTCTTCACCTCTGTCCCCCGCTCCAGCACCTTCTCCTTCATCACCCATTGCTTCCCCCACCTCACCTTCCCCCGCTCCTATGCCCTCTCCTTCGGCACCCATTGCTCCTCCCACCTCTCCTCCCCCTTCTCCCGAGCCCTCCCCTCCACCATCGGTACCTCCACCCTCTCCAGCTTCTCCACCAACTCTGCCTGCCCCAGTTTTGTCGGTAACCTGCGATAATGTGCGTATGGCGAGGATGGATTTCACTGTGGGCACTGAATCCTACTTCCCAACTGAGGTCACTCTCATGAATGGAACAGGCGACGTTATATTTACGTTCACGGCTCTGGATAGGGGCCACACATTTATGGCATCCCCAGTCATCGACTTTGAACTTCAAAAGGAGCACTGCTTCACTTGCAATGCGACGGACACCAATGGGTGGCTGTCCGAGCTTTCCAACAAGGCCTGCCAGACGTGTGGTTGATTTCCAAGATGTGCTGCTCAGGCATTGCCTGACGCTGCAAGTCCTTGACCTTCCGCACTGCTTATGAGACTGGATGTAATGATCGGGGCCACTCCCATAGATTTGTTGCAACCTTTCAAACAGTACCCACTCAGACCAATGTTGTAGAAACCCAAGGAGATAGGAAAGGTGTGTCCAGGGCATTGAGGACTCCTCCATCACATTTGACTCGGTAAATTGTCAATGGACACTCCCTCAGCAAACATGGAACCGGATACGGGGTGCTTTGCCCCTGACATGCCGTGCGCGGTGTACGGTCACAGCCGCCACCAAGCAGGCATCACAGGCAACACAGGTTCCGTCAGAGCCTTGTGCAGAGCGCCATGCTCCACCTGCAATCCCCTCTGCCTTGACGTGGAGATAATGGCTTGAGTTGTTACAGCTCCAGAAGAGCGGCTCTGTACGGTGGCCTTGACAGCGACCAGGTCGGCAAGGCCACACACGCCATTGATCAGATTGGGTGGCTTGGCTTACCCCGCATGCTTCACAGGCTGAAGAGTCATTCCTGGTTGTGAGAATGCCATTGCGAGAAACCACGGGCACCTGTCGTGCGACTTGGCGATGTTTGTTCGAATGGATGCCTCCTTTTCTTTCGGAACACGCCATCGACTCCAAACTCATACTCATCAGATGTCAACATCGTCAACTGTACCCGAGTCTACAATTTATGGTGGGCATGCGATGGGACTTATCAGCAGGGCATGTCAGATACGGTCCAACTGCTCGTGCAAGCCGTGACCTGCCCGCTCTGGCGAGTCGAGGTGGACGGGGAGGGAGGGGTGCCAACCCATGCGAGCATGCGGGCGATGCGCTCTACCTCATCGATCCGGCCGTTTTCAGCATCCATATACCTACTTCTACATCCGTTAAATCACTCTGCAGTCATGGACCGTTTGTCAATCCGCACAGCTTCGGGACATGCGGGCACACCTTTTGCAGGTGCTGAGAGGGTGACGGGAGCAGGGATCCAGGACGGCCGTCCCTGTAAACCCCACCCCCCAATTGCTGCATGACCTGAAGTATCCTCAATCTCTTTCTCCAGCCTTTGCATTCCTTGGTGCCCCAGCCCCGGCCACCCGTGCCACCTTGCCAGGGTTTGCGTGGTGGAGAGGCTGGAGGGCCCGGGCGTCACCTCCTCGATGTGCCCCACCTGCCGCCAGCCCGCCTGGAAGAACGACCTGGTCTACAACCACCGCATGGCCAACGTCGTGGAGAGCGTGAAGTGCCTGGCGGGGGTGACCTGCGGGCCGCTGAAGCAGGGCCACGGCCCGGCCAGCCAGCCCGGCGACCAGAGCCAGGGTGCGGAGGGGGGTGGCCGGCCCACCAAGCGCCCCCGCCGCTCGGGCAGGCGGGCGGGCTCTGGGAAGCGCGGCGCCCCCCGCCTCCCGGACAGGGGCCACCCGGGCGCACAGGCCCGTGCGGGGTGGGTGCATGGCGGCAGCCAGGGCGCGGCGGGCGTGGGAGGCTTGGCGCAGCCTTCGGAAGACTCGGGCGTGGATGCTGGGGGCCGGGGCCCAGGGATTGACAGCTCCCCTGCCCCGGCCCCTGCCGTCATCGCCGCAAGCCCCGCGCCGGCCGCCGCTGGCCCCGAAAGGCCCGTGGTAGCGGCCGCCATCCCGCCCGCAGCATTGCCACGGGCCGTGTGTGGTGCCCTGGCATGCGCGGACGCCGATCCAGGAGCCCTGCCCCCCGAGCCAGGTTTGGAGCCCGGGTGCTTGCCTGACACCAGCCCAGGCCGCAGTAAGGCCCGGGTCTGCCAGGCCTGTGCGTCCCAGCTCGATCTAGACCGTGTGGTCCTGGCCAGCCAGCAGGACAGAGCCAGCTGTGCAGAGCTGTCCTCCCCAATGCCGGGGGAAAGCAGTGGGGCGGCAGCTCTGGGAAAGCCCGAGGCGCCTGCCCGCGACCAGGAGGCAGGGGGTGTGAAGGGGCTTGACCTCGACTCCCCGAGCTGCGCCGGGGGCCCCGGGCTGGATGCCACCCCGCCCGGACTTGCCACGCCGCCGCTGAGGCACGAGATGCTGCTGCTCCAGCGCGCCATCCTCCTCTGCGACGTGCTGGGCACGCTGGGCCCCACGGCGGAAGCTCTGCCGGGCACCGAGGCGGAGCGCCCAGCTCTGGAGGAGCAGGCCGACACTGCGGGGGCCTCCCCCGCCGACGTGTCCCCGGGCGCGGGGCGCAGCACGGAGCCTGGCGCACCGGCGACGGGCGGGGACGACGCGGCGCGCCCGCCCTGCCGGCCTCCCACCAGCCAGGGAACAGTGTGTGCGCCCGCCGCCAGTACGGGGTGGCCCGCGACGGCTGTGCCGCCCAGGCGCCCGCCCCACCCCGGCCGCTCCGGCCCCTCCCGCGCCGGGCGGCCGGGGGGCCCCCGCTCCGGCCAGGCGCGGGGTGGCTCGGCCTCCCCCCGCCCGCGCTCCATCGCCGAGCTTCTGACCCAGGGGTCCCAACGCGCCCTCGCCGCGGCCTCGCGGCGTGGGGACGGGCGCCGCCGCGTTGTGCTTTCCAGCCCCGCGCACCGAGCCCTGCTGGCGCAGCTGGCGGTGCGGCTGGGGGGGGCGCAGAGGAGGGCGGCGAGGTCACGCGGTGGGTGGGGCTGTGAAGAGGAGGGGGGCCGCTCTGACCCTGACTGCCGTTAGTACCAAGTGAGAGACCCGGGACCGAGAGGGATCTCTGGATTCGCAGTTGGGAGCTCTTGGCCCCACCCTGGACCCGGCGTGTGCCCGTCCCACCCCTCACTAACCCCCCTCCCCTCCCTACACCCCTTCCCATGCCATCATTCGTCAGGGACACCACGCACGTGATCGTGGCCACCGATGCCCGTGGCGTGGTGGCGACACGGGTGATGAAGCTTTGTCAGGCGCTGGCGGTGGGGTGCTGGATCCTGGCGCCGGCGTGGCTGGAGGCCTGCATGGAGGCGGGGGCCTGGGTGCCCGAGCAGGCATTCGAGGTCAAGGCGAGTGCCCGCATCAGTCCATGCTGTTGCTGAAAAGGGGTGGCTGCGCCAAGACATGGTGCACCTTGCTTTGGTTCGCCACACCACTCCCCCGGGCCCCCTCCTAACACCACCACCACCACCCGCCTTGCGACATGATCTACCCTACGCTGCACACAGGGAGATGGTTGCTGCCTCGGCGGGCCCGCCAGGGCGCGCAAGCGTGCGGACAGGGGCTGCCCCGGCCTGTTTGCGGGGCGCACCTTCCGCATCGTCGGCAAAGGTGGTGTGAAGGGGGTGGGCAGGCACAGCGCTCCTCACCCTGCACCCATGCCGCCGGGAAGAGCCCCTATCCCTGGGCCCCGTCCAAACAAAGGCGTCCTCCAGAGGCCTCACTCATGGACTCTCTTGCCTCCCCACCCCCCGAGCGCAGGTCCTTTGCATGCTGCCGGGCTGACCAAGGCCATAGAGCTAGCGGGAGGGTCCATCGTCACCCGCAGCCTCCCCGGGGCGTGCCTCGTCTCGCTCCAGAACGACCTGGAGTTCCTCAGCAAAGCATGGGTGTGCGGCGCTGGGATGGCGCGGCGATGACGCTGGCCGCCATGCGCTCGCGTGTCTTGTACCTCTTGCGCTGGGCTCCTCCTGTTTTGACGCCTTGGATCTCCATGACGAGGGGCGCTCTCGCTGCCAAGAGCCCAGCGGCTCCACCACCAGCCATGCCCTCCCTCCCCTTTCACAGAAGTCGTGGGGCGTCCAGCCGGTGACCAGCAGCTGGATCCTGGACCATCTTTCGAGGCAGGAGGAGTTAGAGCCAGTCCAGCAGGACCCACAGGAAAATAGCGCCCTGTCCATCGATCCCTTGAGCGTCTGAGCAGGCCCTGTTCAAGCAGCCTTGCATGTGTTGTGGGGGCGGGTTAGACCCTACAACGTGGACTGCTGTATTTGACCTAAGATAGGAATGTTACAGGCAAGACCCCGAATACGGTGAGGGGCTTGGGTTTCAAGCACGGCGCCAGGCGGCATAGGCGCGGCGCAGGGCACGGATGCAGGTGGAAAGGGGGGAAGACTCCGGAGAGGGGGCCCCCACAACAGCATGCGACATGGACCCAGCCCAGGGTATTTTTTTTTCGAGTGCACTCTATATAGGACGGCTTCAGAGGGGGACGGCACTGCTGCCATAATCCTCTCTGATTCCATCCACCGGAGTTTTAATCCAAACTGCACAGCAGTTCCTAAGGGAACCGCCGGCGATGGGACCGGCTGCATCTATGCTTCATGGCCGTCAGCCATCTACGGATCACTGATATGCACTATTCACCCCACAGGTGGAGATAGGGAGTGGCGGGACATTCCCTGCATCAGATGAGAAAGGGAAGGTGTTAAGTCTGCTGTTGATGCACCGGCGCATCCGTGCGATGTGAAGCTTATAATGGAGTCCTGCATACCTGATAACCCCGCCCGCATGACACACCGCCCATCTCCCTTGCCCAGAATCACACCACAGACCACCAGCTGTCTCCTCGCCAAACAACACCCCGCGGTATGCTGGGCAACGCACCACGTCACTGCCGCCGAATGGCAGGGTGTTGGCCCCTGGTCCCCACAGTCGGAGATAGCCCCCGCCCATGGCAAAGCACGCTAGCCTCCGCTGCGGGATGGGAAGGACATTGTTTGGGTCAGAGGCACGATTGTATGGTCAGGCGGCAGGGATAGGTTTAGCCCATCAACCTCCCCCCCACTCATCTTCGACTCGGTTTCTTGGTAATTCAAAGTTGCTCCTCCAATGTTGCTCCTTCGATGTTGCTCCTCGTTGAGTTTGTACTGGGAGTGGGCAGGTGTGCGTTGGGAAGGGTTTGGCAACAGACTAGCAACCTCGCGAGCAGGGGATAAACAGTACTGACCCGTCATGCGCCCACGTACATCGCAGACCATAGCTCGCTGCCACACCAACACGGGCGACTCACCCGTTCGTTAATGTTCCGCTGCGGCCAATTTTGGAGAGGGTACGGAAGCAGGATGACACCATCGTCGATCATCGACTGCAAGGCGACGAGATCGGCAGGTGTCGACCCGTCACGAGCGACCAGATCCGCAAGGGGGGCGGATCGGAGTCCTGCAAAGTAGGACGAGTACTCGAGGGCTGAAGATCTTGATGGACACCCCACTGGGCAAAGGGAGACATAGATACCAGCTACTA